CCACCTACACTCACCTTTACTGGCTCCACCCCTGCCTCTTTGACCTGTCTGTCTCCTCTCCACCTATTTTCTCCTTTATCCATCTTCTATCCGCCTCCCCCTCTCTCCCTATTTATTTGAGAACCCCCTTCCCCTCCCCCACTTCTGAAGAAGGGTCTCGGCCCGAAACGTCAGCCTTCCTGCTCCACTGATGCTGCTTGGCCTGCTGTGTTCATCCAGCTCTACACCTTGTTATCTCTAAAACGTAAGCATAAATGGGTCTTGTCCTGGTTGGCAAGATCGAATGAGTGGTATGCCACAGGGATAGATGTTCAGATCTCGACTGATGATTTATATGAATGACTTGGATAAAAGGTCTAAAAGTATGGTTGCCAAATTTGACGCAAAGATAGGTAGGAAAGTTATGTGAAGAGGACTTAAAGATGCTTCAGAGGGATGTAGGTAGGTTGAGTGAGCAAAATCTAGCAAATGGAGTGTAATATGAGAAAATGTGAAATTGTCCATTTTGGCTAGAAAACTGAAAAAGCATATTATCTAAATAGTAAGAGATTGCAGAGCTTTGAGATGCAGAATGGCCTGGGTGTCCTCGTGCATAAATCACAAAAAGTTAGTATGTCAATACAGCAGGTAATTAGGAAAGCAAATAGAATGTTATCATTTATCACTAAGGGGACTGAATGCAAAAGTAGAGATGTTATTCAAGGCACCAGTTATACAAAAACTGCGTCTGGAGTATTGTGCACAGTATTGATCAGCTTATTGAAGGAAGTATGTAAGTGCTTTGCAAACAGTTCAGAGAAGGTTTCTCAGACTAATATCTGAACTGGGGGGTAACTCTTAAAAAGGAAAGGTTGGACCAGCTAGGTGTGTATCCATTGCCTCTTAAAACAGTAGGGGCTGACTTGATTGAAACACAAGATCTTGAATGGCCTTGGTGGAGTAGGTGTGGAGAAGATGGTTCCTTTTCTTGGAGAATAGAGAACTAGAGGTCACTTGGGAACATCAGGGGTCACTCATTTAAAACTGAGGTGAAATTTTTTTTGAGGGTCATGAATGTTTGCGCGTTTAGACCTGTTTTCCTGAATAGGTTACGGAGATAAAGTCCTTTGAATATCTTTAAAGCAGGTGTGGATAGATTCTTCCTAAGCAAGGGCAATGAAAGGTTAGGTTGGCGGGAATGTAGATCTGAGGCTATAATCCGGTCAGCTGTGATTTTTTTTTTTGAATTGCAGAGCAGGCTTGAAGGGCTGAATGGGTTGCATCTGCTCCTTATTAATGTGTTTGTATTGGCTCCTGGTTAGGCACTGTGTGAATTTAAACTTTTATGACTTCTTTTGTTTCAAATCCCTCCACAGCTATGCACCTTCCTACCTGGATCCCTAGAACGCTTCAATATCTGTACTCCTCCAATTCTGGCCTGTTGCACATACCTGTCTTTAATCATTTCACCATGTGTGCTCAGATCCTAAAATCTGGAATCTGTCTCTTAACTCCTCCACTTTTACACTTCCCTTTTTTAACACATTCCTTTATCTACATCTTGACCAATCTTTAGTCATCTGCCATAATATCTCCGTCTCGTGTCAAATTTTGTTTGATAACTCTTCCCCTGTAGTGCCTGAAGATCTTTTACTATGTTAAAGGCATTAGTTTTCACAAGCACTTGCAATTGAGCTGTTCCATATTCGCACGGAGTAGTGGTATCCTATTTCGATTTACATTCTCCTCGCTTTTAGCTACTTACATAGAGATATACAGCATGGAAACGGACCCTTCGGTCCAACTCGCTCGTGCTGACCAGATATCCTAAATTAATCTAGTCCCATTTTGCCCTGTAAACTCTTCCTATTCAAGTACCCATCCAGATGTCTTTTAAATGTTGTAATTGTACCAGCCTCGACCACTTCCTCTGGCAGCTCATTGCATACATGCACCACTGTCTGTGTGGAAAAAATTGCCCCTCAGTCCCTTTTTATATTTTTCCCCTCTCACCTTAAACTTATGCCCTCTAGTTTTGGACTCTGCTACCCTGGAGAAAAGACCTTGGTTATTCACCCTATCTATGCCCCTTATAATTTTATAAACCTCTATAATGTCACCCCTTAACCTCTGATGCTCCAGGGAAAATAGCCCCAGCCTATTCATCTTCTCCCTATGGTTCAAACCCTCCAGCTCTGGCAACAACCTTGTAAATCTTTTCTGAACCCTTTCAAGTTTCACAACACCCTTCCTATAGCAGGGCAACGAGAATTGAATGCAGTATTCTAAAAGTGCCCGAACAACGTTCTATACAGCTGCAGCATGACCTCCCAACTCCTATACTCCATGCACTGACCGATTTAAAGGCAAGCGTACCAAATGCACCTTCACTATCCTGTGTACTTGTGACTTTACTTTCAAGGAACTATGAACCTGCACTTGTTCCCTTTCTCAAATGTTCAATATCATGTACTTTTTTTTGAGGGTGGGAGAGGTCGTTAGGAAATCCAGTTTCTGCACTGTTTCCTTTAGAGCTCAATTGTTCAATCCTATTTTTCAACTTAATTCCACTTTATACTCGCACTGGCCCAGATTTTCCAATGGCCAGATAATTGTTTCTGAAGTGTAGATGCTTCATAGCAGATCCTAAAGGATTTGACTGGGAAGTGAAGATTTTGCTGTGGACTTGAAGGGTTTCACTGGAGTTAAGTATATAATTTAATTTGGAAAAGCTAGATCATTGAATACAAAGTCTAACACCTGGGTAACTATTCAACTGGCCTGTCAATTTACCCCCTCAATCTCAACCAGACCTACCCCAGACCCTGACCAGACTACCTCCAGCCCAACGGACCTGATTATCTCTCACCCACTCCAACCTACCCTCAATACTCCTATTGTTTACCTGGTACCCTCCATGCCTTCCTACCCATCTGATGCCCTGCACTTCAGGCACCCTACTTTCACATTTGCCTTGTGTACTTTTTCACAGGCGTTGTCAAAGTGGTTGCCTGTGATGCTGGACTTTTAAATGACAGCAGTCAGTTGCCTTATTCTGTGAAAAGCGGTTGTGGTTTACCTTCCCTCAACTGTTACACACTACAAGGGATCTGTCAATACATTTCTGAAGGACCCATAATTGGAATGTCTCGTCAGAAATACTGTAGTGGCAGTCTGCTTGAAATGTTCACTCCTTGGATAATTGGGCCCCAGTGTTCTGTTGCACTTCCCATTCCAGATGATTTTGATATTCAGAACTGTGTAAAGTAGCCAAGATGTGAGTCCTTGTGCTTTATATGAACATATTCAAGCCACGGGATTTGTGCTGCATCTCTTGAGCTGTGCATTTCAAGATCACATTTTGCCTTCATCAGTACTGCATGTTCTCCTGATGGTTTTAGGATGTTTTTTCTAAAATCTAGATTTCCCTTCTGTATTTTCTTGTAGACTGTTTCCAGTTTTTTTTGGGGACTGCTGTTATTAGTTTCCTTTCTCTAGTTTCATGACTTAGTATCTCTCCGAAAAAAGTCATTTCCTGTGTGGTGAGTAAAAAGTTTTGCTAAAAATTTATGGATGTGATTTATTTTGTTAGCCCAGGAAATTCAGTAGATTTAATGGGTCATGTACATGATATATCTACTTGTTTCCATTCAGTTTTTCCAAAGTTCGATCATTAAGACATTTTCTGCTATTTATCCCACCACTCGTGGAAAAACTCTCAAATCTCAAGTTATCATCTGTACTTTTGAAAATTAGAGCCACATTTATCTCCTGGTCATTGGGTACAACTTTTCTATTTAGTTATTACCTCTCCAGTCGACTTTGGTTTATTGTTTTATAGTAGTTTGGGTTGAGCAGTCTTGCTGTTTGTGGTGTTAGCTTACCTATCTGCCAGTGCGTTGTGGGTGACTTCCTGATGAGTTTTGAGTTTGTTTTTTTGTTTTTTTGTTTTCTCGCTATTAAAATCAAACTACTTGCCTTTTTTTTAAACTCACTCCTGGGACGTGAGCAGTATTGGTTAGGGTAGCTCTTATTGCCTATCCCTCAATGCCATTGAAGATGGTGGTGAGGCACCCTCTCACCTGCTGCAGTCTGTGTGGTTTAGGTACAGCCTGGTACTGGTGAGGAGGTCCTGGATTTTGACCAGTAAAGGAACAGCAGTTATCTTCCAAGTCAGGATGGTGTGGCTTGGAGGGAAACTTGTAAACTCATTTGTAAGTCCTGATTTAAAGAAATAATTTTATGGTATTCTTTGATTTGATAAACCAGTCCCCAAGATCCCTCCACTTTTGTTACTTCTGTTCCTCTGAGAGACATGCACTGGATGGGGAGATCTGAACACAAATTGAGCAACTGCTTTGCGAATGACTT